TCCCCATCCGACACTAAGAAATGCTGCAAAATTGTCCTTTTCGGTTTGTATATGAACCAAATTCACTGATTGGGCATGTGCGCATGGGGAACAAGCAATTTCGATTGCCCTTCTCGTGAAATCCGGATTTTTCAGGGGTTCTCTAAATGCAAGGGTAATCCTTTCTTTGCATCTCTCAAAAATACTGGTATATTTACCCGCGGCTGGCTAAAAGCGAAGAAAGTAAACCATTGCCAGAACCGCTTGGTACAATTCCTATAGGTAAGGAAGGGATGATCGTTGCACGATCCGGTCGTTCAAAAAGACCGTTGAGAACCTAAAAATAAAACATATACTACGATAAATAACATGACGTTCTGCTGCAAGGAGATAGAGGATAGAAAGGTCCGCAGTACAATTTTGAGAAGTTTCAAGACTTGAGGACCAGTTCTCGCTCATAAAGATAATCAGTGACATTATACGTTGAATCGCATAATCATAAAATTATAGCATACGTTGGTCATTCATGAGCAAAGTTCCCTCCATATCTCAAATAGTATTTGGACGGGGACCAGTTCTCGCGAAATTTAAGCTCATTATATGTTATTTCGAAACATTTTTGTGAGTAGCTATTGTTTGATTGAGCATGACACGCACTAATTTGGAAACACTTCAAAAGGGGGGAAACTTTTCAGATCAGCTTGAAACTTCAACTTTTGGAAAAATCTAAAAATTTACCTCGAATACAAGGCCATCTCCAGATAGAATTATCAAACCGTTAAATTTACAAAGATCGTCTCTTGATCGTACCACTGTTTTTGCGTGATTTGGTCCGGCTAAAATTGTATTTTCGAAGTTACAAATCTATAATAACTTCGTACAAAAACCACCTACTCGTTATGATCAACTCATACTCTATCCGATTTTTCTTCAACTTAGGCGCTACAAGTCGTCGGAATGTCCTCTTTCCTTTGCCAGAACCAGAATGTGGATTGACAAAGACGAGAACTCGTCCTACCGATGCTTCTTCCAGATCTGAATTGTATTT